ATGAAGCCTCCTCACCTGGTCGTAAAGTAAATAAGGAACGATTTTCGGATGAAGTTCTCGTTGGTGACAGCAGAGATAGTGAAGATGAGGAAAACGAAGAACCATTGCCCAAGAAACCCAAACTCTCTGTTATACGAGAATCCCTTGATAATGTCATTTCATACATTGAATTGTCAGCAGAAACTGATGATATTCAGCATTACTATCAACATATTAGAGCCCTTAGGGAACTCATTATCCGGAGGCAGCATCATCAAGGTTAACAACTGAAACTAGACTCATTCTTCAAGCCAGTTCATCCCAACCCTGCTGCAGCTGTTGAGCCTGCTGCTGACTCAGGCCATCCTCAGTCACCTCAGCCTTCTACGAGTGGGGGACAAGGACCAGTGGAGCATCATAGCTCTACTGACTCCGAATAACACGTTATCAACTCTACCCCCCCCCCACCTCCACCACATCAAGCTCATCTGGCATCTACCAAAGGTAAATGAAATTAACATATTGTAATGTTTTATATAGCTAGTTATATGATGTTTACAGTACAGTATTTCCTGTATTTTTGTTACTGCGTATCATGTTCAGCATACAGTGTATATACGGTACTATATTTCCTAACCTAACCTAAATCGGTTAATTCGGACAATCGGCTAAAACGGACACCCTCCCCCCCCTATTAGTCCGAATTATCGAGGGTCGACTGTATTACTATTTGTGTTGTTATTATTATTATTATAATTTTTTTTATCTGTGTTCTTCTGGCTAAATAAACTTTCAATATCAATAAGAATTTTACAAATTCTCGGAGCCAAATTTCAATATAAGTAAATATTTCTTGATTGCCAATGATCTGAGGTAAGATATTTTAATTTTAGCATAGGTTTTTAGGTGTTTATAAGGCTTGACAACACCTTATTTAGAGAAAGGACATATTCTACTTGATATTTGATATACTCTGTAGGTGTTCTGCATGCTTCATCAGTGCAACCACGGTACGTCACTGGTGTAGGCAGATCAGCTGTTCGTTATGGTCACTGGTGCACACACACACACACACACACACACACACACACACACACACACACACACACACACACACGTATAATCACTGGGAGGGTGGGCTTGCCTGTCCGGAATGAACAATAACAGCCCGCCCGCGCACCCAGTGAAGGAATATTCACTACACTGTCCGAGTGTAGTGAATGTTCGTTCACTGGGTGCGCGGGCTCGCTCGTCGCAAACAAACGCTCACAGCCCCATATGCTTGAACCGAAACTTTATGACAACCCCTCAGATATTTGAACACTTCACTCAAACACACGACACTCCATGTCACAGTCTCCCACACCGACGTCCCACCCACTGTGTGTGTGTGGGTGGCTGACTGACGACCTACATTGTCCCAATCTGAACTCCCGGCGTTGGTAGTGTGTTTTTTGGTCCTTTTGTCCTCCTGTTAGTTGAGAATTCCCTTCGAGGCCCCCCTGTACAGTAATACCCCGCTTGACACGGTTTCACTTAGCGCGATTTCACGTATACGCGGTGCCTCGCCAGAGCTGAACTTTCACTTAACGCGGGTTTTTTCCACATATACGCGGCAGTGTCCGGCTCGAGAGCTATTTTTAGATTCGCCCCACCCCCCACCCTGCCTGACTGCCTGCCTGCCTGTTTTAGCTCATAAAATTCATACAAATTACCCGGCCAGAATATAATTTACATTGCTGGAATTCTTACAATATGATGATCATTTTGAATATAAACATCATAGATTTTGCATTAGACATACAAATTTTAGATATAATGTTTACTCTGAGTAAATATGTTATTTTTTGTGCAAAATATATGACATTTGTATTCAAAATATTCCTGGTCTTACAAGGAATCCAGCAATGTCAATTGTATTATCCTAACTTTAGTTTGAGGTATTATTTATTAAAATTTAGTGGTCTTCCCCCCAAAATTTCTCAGAGAGGGAAGAGCCAGCAGTGTAGTGTGAGAAGAGGGGGAGGGAGTCGAGTCCATTATTTGAATGGACATTAACTTGGCGACTGTATTTCTCTATTTCTCTTAAGTACTAATTGTGTGCATGTACCATCATAAAATTAAGATGTTATTTTTACTAGAACATAGTTATGTGTCGGAAAAAGTGGAGTTTGGGGGTCGGGCCAGTTTCTATTGGAATTAATCCCATATGTTCTGTTGTTCACTTAGCGCGGTTTTCACTTAACACGGTACCCTGTGGGTTTTATTGACCGCGTTAAGCGGGGTACTACTGTACTTATTTTGACTATAAATGCCTTAGTTAAGACGTTCAGGTGACGGGCAAGTCGAAGGGAATGATTGAAACCCGCCTTTTGACGCATTCAATATTTATTAATGTGGTCAAAACCTGCAGAGAACAAGGCATTCATTAGTATTACATGGTGATCTATCTGATACATAATAAGTTAGTCTCAGATGATTTCATCTTAATTACAATTGATTATTAAGCATAGCGACATGATACAAAATTCATAACTCTAATAATCTTAGTTCACTTCATTCCGCATTGTCTTATTGCTCCAGATAAGGCAGAAACGAGTAGGCATAATTAGTCCACAATATTTCAGTACTGAGGGGTATGTCATCACTTTGGCTGTACAAGTGCGGGTCAATGCAAACCAGTATGGTGTTCCAAGGGACAATAGTACTGTGTAAATTGTTCCAGCACAAAACTTGGCCAGGATTGGGAGTCGGTGTTCACCACAGAGGGCTGGTCCTCACAGCATCACTCGAGAGGGCGATCTGCATCATGGAGGCCAGGCGGCCACGCACCCTCTAAACCGTACACTCAGCAGAATCAGGGCCTCTTGTTTGTGCAGGTCACGTGGGGGGACGGCGCACGTGGTTGTAGGCTGATAGATTGAATGTTTGTTCGGGTAAGGCAACGCCAGCACTGTAGTTGAAGCCAGTGGTGATAACAATACTACAGGCAGTTTGGAGAAACGGATTACCACAGGAGGTGTAGGCACACATTTCTGCAACTATGCCCCTTGGACATATACCAACTCCAACTAGGGCCCCCCCTTAACGAATTTTGAGGTGAGGTACGAAGGCTGTAAATTGTGCAGATGTCATGATGGATATCCTGGTAGCAATAAGTCATGTGTTCTGATTAAGCAATTCTATTCAAACTTATTGCTATGAATTTAACAAAGCTTGTACACACCATGTTAACTGTGCCCAATGCCTTAGAATTTTAAATTAAGGATAAAAAGGAGTTTTTATTTATGAATAAATAAAAGGGTTGAAACCCCGACATAAGCAAAATACTGCATGTACTGTATGTATCAAAGATAAATGCTACACTTGTTAAAAAATAGGAGAAAATTGAGTGGAACAACTAGGGAATTAAACAATAATAAATTTGCATAACATCTTAATAACCATAGGTTACTTAAGGCGGCGTCACACTGGCATTCTTTAATAGATTTTTTTTTTTTGTAAACTTTCAGAAAATTTTAATCTTTTTGTTGTGCACTGTCACACATACGTTAAGAACCAACTCGCTAGTTTCCCTCATTCAACAACTGTCAACAAATAAGATAGATCGAACTGATGAAGAAGGCACAGAAATTCTACGCTTTGTCATCGCTGTTTTCCAACGTCAATGGGCTAAAAGGGCGTAAAAGGCGTGTCAATAACCCTAAGATTTACCATTACTGTATACACAAGCTTACCTGGTGTGATGTTGAGAAGCTCTTTTTTTGTGTATGAAGTCCTGGTGATCCCAGAGACAGCAGCACTGCCTTACTGGTCCACCAAGAACTCCTCGAAGAGGTGTGTCCATACTTGGGAAATTATTTTATCATGTTGTTATTCCCTTGTGGTCAAAATGTAAACAACAAATGACATTTTCTTACCTTTTTAAAATCACAAAATTAAGCATAATAATGAATAATCTTGGGAAGAAGAGTAATACTGTAATTACTTCAAAATAATTTTTGTTTCATAATTTCAGTAAATTTTTTTTTTTATAACTATTTGTAATATCAATTATAGATCATGCGTTGACTGCGGTAAGTTGTCGCACGAGTCGTTAGTGCAGGCAGTCTGCACCATTTGACAAAAAGTCAAGAACAACGTTGACGATTCGTGAAAAAATCGACGATTAATGGAAAAGTTGACAATAGAAATGCAAGTGTGACACCGTCTTAACAGATTACATGAAACTAGTTGAACTAACCTCATTAAAACACCACCAGCTTCTGAAGGAGTAAGGAGTCATGTACTCACGCCTCTTAACAAAAGGAAAAGTTCACCGTGTACCATTCACATTGCAGCAGCGTTGCCAGAAGTAGATTTTCAAGACCAACTAGTTACTTTTTACCCTGGGCTTAGATATCATTAGCCTTACTTGCAAAATTATAAAAATTACCCTAAAATTTATTAAATTTTGCACTACCCTAGATGCTACCCCAACAAAGCACCGATTACCCTAAAAGTGGTAGCCCTGGTACCACAATCAATAACTCACCGAGGGTCTATCCTGGTACTCCTGGTTAAAAAATAATGATGGATATGGTGTTTGAACCTTCACTTTACTCCTCTTAGTCCTCTTTCCATTACCTGAACCCTGTACACCTGACTTTGTCCATCAAACTTGACCTAGAATAATCAGGAGAGGGCGCCCAAATCATACTTGGTATAAATTCTAGAGTAAAGCAACACAATATCTTCAAGGGTTTCAAAATGTGATATCATTTTGGAATACTGTATTCTGAATTCTCTCTGGTGCCCTTTAGGCCAGGCACCACTTTGTAAATATCTAGCTCCACCATTGTTTGTGTGTGTTGTACAATTAATTTAAAGTGGGTCCTATAAGCCTGACAGCACAGGAGCAGTGCAGTTATACTACACCATATTCTAAACCTTGAATACACTTCACTTTTGCTGCAGTCACTTTCTTGTGCAGGGAGGTACTCTACTAAACCATTATTGCTTGGAGGACATGGGTGACTAACCTCTAAGAATTCTTGACAATCATTCCATATAATCTGTGTCAAGCACACCTGATGACCATCATCTCTGGGAACCTCGACTGGTATCAGCTCAACCTCCTGAAAATTTATATTCAATATTACTGTATAAACTGGTAAAAACAACTGGTGTGCATTAACAGTACAGTCACAGTCAAAAGTAATCATCTACTCCACCATCTTACCCATGTACAGTACAGGTATACCGGTAAGAGAAATATTTAACATTTTAATATGTATGAAAATTTACCTTTCACTTGTTGCAACTAAGAAATCTCATGAATTTATAGTTGCAATCAGTAATTTTGACAATTCTAAGACACTTTTCTTCAATGGTATTTATGGTGCAAATTATGTATAGACAAAATATTTAATATATTTTATTTTGCATGAAAATTTACCTTTCACTTGTTGCCACAAAATGAATCTATGAATTTTATAGTTGCAATCATCTATTTTGACAATTCTAAGACACTTTTTTCAACGGTATTTCTGGCCAAAATTGCATTTAAGCAAGATATTTAACATTTTATTATGTATGCTCATAGGTGGCAGTACACACCCAAAACATCGAACAACTGTGGAACCCCCCAGTTAGGTTAGGTTAGATTAGATTCAAAACTTTTTTTCTGGTGGTTTTGAACACTTCATTTTTAGGTAAAAATTATTGTTTCGTTCCTCCACTATTTGGAAGTTAAAATTATGTTTTTTCCAATGTTTTTTTGTGTGTTTTGAATGAATCTAATCTTCATTTCTACCCCAAATCACTACTTTTTGAGCTACCCACACCCCCCTTATCCAACAATAATGGAGGACCCCCCAGTGTGAACCAGGAATTTTGGGTGGGGGAAAATCATAAAAGTAGTAATTTGTGATAGAAATGAAGGTCAGAATCGTTCAGAACAAAACCATCGGAAAAACATAATTTCAACCTAGCCTATACTGAGCTGTGATTGGTTGATACAAAATCATACCCACCAATCAAAAGTCAAAAGAACAACTGCATGCAACATTCAGTAATAATCAACAAACGAACACACAGGAGCTCTCTCAGACTGTGGTAACTTAAAATCCTAAAATTCTCTGGCTGACCGATTTTTACCAGTTACATTAAGTTGAAATTTTATTTTAGGGAAGGTTTTCGATGTGTTTTGAACTATTCTTACCTTCATTTCCATTGCCAATGTACTACTTTTTGTGATTTTTCCCCACCCAAAACCCCTGGTTCCCGTTGGGGGTTCTCCATCACTGTTGGATAAGGAGGGAGGGTTAAAAAGGTTGTGATTTGCAGTAGAAATGAAGCTCAGAATCGTGGATGACCGAAAGAATGATTTTGGTATTAACAGTACAGTACAGTATTATCGTTTCTGTTATCCAGCAAATTTGGGGATTTTAAGTTTTGGAATCAGTAGTTTAGACAATTCTAAGGCTCGTTTCCTCTGTAGCATTTCTTCTGCAAATGATTACTTTCTGAGAAAATCTTAATAAATTGTTGGAAAATCATTGTATTTTTTCTAAGTTCTTGTTTATGTTACCACTGTTCCAAAGAGCTCCTGTGTGTTTGTTTGTTGGTTATTATGCTGCATTACGCATGTGCTAGAGTCTGACACATGCGCAGGTGTTATTTAGACGTTAATTGGTGGGTATGATTTTGGATCAACCAATCACAGCTTGGTATATGCCCTCGCCACCACCTGCTTGAATTTGAATTTAATTCCAAGATATCTCCCTTGTGCAATGGCTGTGATTTCATTTACTTCCAAACCATCACCAGATTTCACATCGATTATTACAGTAAAGACAGAGAAGCGTGGATATTTCTACACAAACACAGTGTTCTACCTACGGAAGTTACTTGCGTGAAGTGTAACCATCATTGTAGCTACCAAAGTGAAAAACACCTTCGGTACTGTGGGAAAACAAATGTTATTCCTAAGTTAGCAAGAGGAAGAAGTACAATTATACAGTGTCACACTAAAAAGGAACATTTCTCTACGGTACACATCTGGAGCTATGGAACTGATCTTATTTGTCAATCATTGGCTCCATAAGATCTGGGACCCCAACTCCGAGTCTAATTAAGGTAAGCACACAGGTAGGAAAGGTAAGGTTTAGGTTATTGTTAGGTTAGGTTGGTTGGTAAAATTATCATTTTGGTCATCCACCTATTTGGAAGTTGTTCAAAACACACCAAAAACCATTAGAAAAGCATAATTTCAACCTAGCCTAATCTAACCATCCTAACCTAACCAACCTAACCTTGAAATTCTAAAATTCGCTGGACGACCGAAACGATAATAATACAGGTTAGGTTAGATTTATGATTTTGACCTTCATTTCCATTGCAAATTACTACTTTTTTGTGATTTTCCCCCACCCTAAACCCCTGGTTCCCACTGGGGATCCACCATTATTGTTGGATAAGGGAGAGAAAAGGGTAGCTCAAAAGTAGTGATTTCCAGTAGAAATGAAGGGCAGAATCATTCAAAACAAATTAAAAACCACCAGAATTTTTTTTTTTAATTTCCAAATTGGAGGATAACCAAACGATAATTTTATCATAATTTTACACAAATTCGTTTAAAACACTTCAATATCCGGTTAATATTTTCATCAGTGAGTTCTGCTATGATAATCAATTCTTGTGCAAATGCTTCATTTGGTAGATAATTAGATGCCTAGGCGCGCATTACTTTCTCCTCTCGGCAGTAATGCTGCAGTGACGTCTCATCCCAGGATGTAAACAGCCAATCATATTGACGTATTTCAAAACATTCCGCCGCCCAGGATCAGTGTATGCCCATGAACAGTTCGGTATGAGTGGTTGCTCTCACGTCCACAAAAAAACGTAAAATTACACCATATTATAGTAAGTTCGGTGAATTTATAGTAAAGCAACGGTCTTTCTCTCGCTGTTATTAATATTAGTCATTATTTCCTACAGTGTACAAGCAAGAACTAATTGTTAGAGGCATGGTCAAAGTGTACATAGGTTGGAAACTGACTGTTAAGAAGAACATAGTACAGTGGTCCCTCGGTTAACGAACGCCTCGTTTAACGAAATTTCGGTTAACGAATTACCTTCCATAAGAATCTTCATTTCGGTTAACGAACAAAAGTTTGGTTAACGAAATTTTTATGAATACGTTTCAACATGTTTTGGCTTGCTCACCAGCTGGAAGATTAGTCCGCCAATACAGAAATCGGTTCTAGGGCTTACATTCGTTAAAATTGGAGTAAATATCAAGAAGGTTGTACTACTGTATTCAATAATTTTCCAAGTTTTATATTAAAATTTTTATTCATTTTTAACACTTATTTAACATAATTGCAGTACAGGGAACTAGGTTTTGGTGCACCCATCAGCCACTTCACTCACCCACCAAGGCCTCAGTTTGTGTCTTTGTTCAGTGGAAGAAACATCTTGCTTGTGGGTCTCTTGAACACAGAGCATTTTTACATTTTTACAGTACGTACAATTATTGGTCATTCTGAAATTTATTTAACATATTGACAATACAGTCAACCCTCACTTTACGCGGTTAATGTAACCCACAGGGTACCGCGGAAAGTGAGAAACGCGTAAAGTGAATAACATAACATATGGGATTAAATGAAATAGAGACCAGCTGACCCCCAAACTCCACTTTTTCCAACACAATACCTATGTTCTAGTAAAAATAACATCTTAATTTTATGATGGTACATGCACACAATTAATACTTAAGAGAAATAGAGAAATACAGTCGCCAAGTTAATGTCCATTCAAATAATGGACACGACTCCCTCCCCCTCTTCTCACACTACACTGCTGGCTCTTCCCTCTGAGAAATTTTGGGGGGAAAACCAGGTATAGTAATAAATAATACCTCAAACTAAAGTTAGGATAATATAATTGACATTGCTGGATTCCTTGTAAGACCAGGAATATTTTGAATATAAATGTCATATATTTTTCACAAAAGATAACATATTTACTCAGATTAAACATTACATCTAAAATTTGTATGTCTAATGCAAAATCTATGATGTTTATATTCAAAATGATCATCAAATTGTAAGAATTCCAGCAATGTAAATTATATTCTGGCCGGGTAATTTGATGAATTTTATGAGCTAAAACAAATATCTTCAGTTAATAAAAAAAAAAATATTCTTCACGACACTATCTGTCAATCAAAGTACCCCACCTTGCCTCCCCCCCCTCTTCCAACCGCACGGTCAATCCCAACCCTCCCCCCCACCCCCCACCAATCCTCCCTTCAAGAGAAAGAGTGGGTGAAAAAAATACATTTTAACATTTTGTATTAAATAATACCTCAGATTAAAGTTAGGATAATATAATTGACATTGCTGGATTCCTTGTAAGACCAGGAATATTTTGAATATAAACGTCATATATTTTGCACAAAAGATAACATACTTACTCAGAGTGAACATTATATCTAAAAATTTTATGTCTAATGCAAAATATATGATGTTTATATTCAAAATGATCATCAAATTGTAAGAATTCCAGCAATATAAATTATATTCTGGCCGGGTAATTTGTATGAATTTTATGAGCTAAAATAAAAATCTTGAGTTAATAAAAAAAAAATATATTCTTCACACGGTAACAGATGGTCGGTCGCCGGTCCCTCCCTCCCTCCCCCCCACCCCCCACCAACGTCCCTACTAGATAAATGTGTGGGAATACCAGACTGTTTACCTTTTTAGTAATAAATAATAAATCAGACTAAAGTTAGGATAATATAATTGACATTGCTGGATTCCTTGTAAGACCAGGAATACTTTGAATATAAATATCATATATTTTGCACAAAAGATAACATATTTACTCAAGAGTAAACATTATATCTAAAATTTGTATGTCTAATGCAAAATCTATGATGTTTATATTCAAAATGATCATCAAATTGTAAGAATTCCAGCAATGTAAATTATATTCTGGCCGGATAATTTGTATGAATTTTATGAGCTAAATAAAAAAATTATACTTCACCGTGTAAAGGGGTACACCCACCGCGGAATGTGAGCATCCTGGGTTCTGGCAGGGCACCGCGTAAACGTGGAAACGC